AGGTCACAGAATACAAATTAAATATACATGAATTAATTTTATTTTTAATATTAGCAATAAACACATGAACACCAACAGTAAAAATGGTAACCGCAGTGTGAAAAACATACCAGGTGCATTTGTGTACATGCCCAAAATCCTGAGAGGAAAATGGAGAAAAAGGAATTGCAGTATGGCCATCCTCCCTTGCCCCCCTGACCCTCAGGGAGTGATTTCTCTCTCTCTCTCTTTCCTTCACCCTGGTGAGTACATGCACCCTATAACCAAAGCTAAAAATAAAAGCAAAAATAAAATACAATATGATTTATATTCATTCAAAAAATAAAATACGGGAACCAGCAGTTAGCGTAATGGCTACATCGCTGGACTCCCACATAGTCAACCATGGTTCACGTCCCGGACCCGGTGGCTTAAAACTCACGCCAGGTGCATGTGTGTGTGTGCCCAAGATCCCAAGAGGAAAATAGAGGAAAAGGGATTGCGGTGTGACCATCCCCCCTGGGGGGTGATTTCTCGCTTTCTGTCTCTATGTCTGTCTCTGTCTGTCTAGCGAGCGCACGCGCCCTATAGCGAAAACCTCTCCAAAAGATAAATGAATGAATGAATTAATTAATTAAATACTATAATAATAATAAATAAAATAAACTACTTAGATATAAACCTAATTAAACATATGCAAAAATTGCATACTGAAATTTATAAAGTGGTGCTGAAAAAAATCAGAAAAGAACTAAATAAAGGAAAGAGCACATTCATGTTTGTGAAAATTCAACATAGTAAAAATGTCAAGTCTCTTTAAATAGATATACTGTAATATAATTTAAAATGTTTTTATTACCCGAGGGCTCATGCACTCACCAGAGAAAGAGAGAGAGAGAAGGAGAACGAAATCACTCCACAGTCGAGCACTGTCACACCACCCTCTTCCTCTTCCATTTCTCTCTCAATAAACAAATAGGTCAAAAAATGTGCTCTCTCTCTGTGTGTGTGTGTGTGTGTGTGTGTGTGTGAGTGAGTGTGTGAAATGAACTACGATGCAACTGCTGTAAAGGACGGAATCCAGTTATTTGAAGTTAAGTGGATGAGGTTGGAGGATATTATGTTAAGTGGAATAAGGCAAGTACAGGAAGAGAAGTAGCCCATGTTCTTTCTCAAATCCATGGAAATTGGAAAAACAATGACCTCAGAGTAAGATGTGGAATGACTACTAGATGCTCTGGAAAGGGTAGGGGTGGGATGAATAGAAGGATGTTAACATAAAATCGCAGATAGACTGAAGGAGAAAAGTCTAGTGTTACAAAATGCAGTGGAGAAAATGTGGTTAATGACAGTTTATTGTATATAATGTTTGCAAATGGCTGAGGTAGGGATATTAATTACTCTGATTTAATCATTATACATTGTTTTCATGCGCTAAAAAGTCACGTTGTTAGCAATTATGTTAGTAAAAAATGATGTTGATAAAATGATGATTATTAATCATGAAAAATAAAGGAGGGAGGGGAGGCAGAAGGGAAGTAGATGCAGTTCTAAAAGGACAACCCATGTCTGCCCGGCAGGTAAGGAAAGAAGTCGCTTCCTGACAGGCCCAAGGACTTCCCAAGTACAGGTACTTAAAAGCACAGTCAAGATGGTGAATTCCTGACTCGGCTCAGTAGCCTTGGGAGGCTTTTTAAAGAGTCTGATCTGAAGTTCCTTATAAAAGGTTCCGGCAAAGCCCACTAAATCAATTAGTATTCTTATTGGACTTTGTGCAAATAACAGAACAAATTGAGACTAAGCTTATTATTATTATTACTTGCAAATAAGTTATTCTTCTCTTTGGTAAAAGGGGAAATGGAGAGAGAAATAAAAATGTTCCAGAAGAAAACCATAATGTACTTGTTACTATATTTTAGCTCTGTCTGTATTTGTTTTTTGAGTTGTTAGTATCTACCTACTATTGGGACAGAATCCTAACCTGTTTCCTGGCTTTAAGTCTTAAGCAAAATTTTCTTAATGTTTTAAAATTTTGATTCATTTAAGCTAAAATGGCTTTTCTTGAAATTAAAAAAAATAATAAAAGCAAACTAAAGTCAGTGCAGGAGAAGGGTGGGCATTTGAGGGGGGAAGAATCAAGGGAGGGAAAAAAAAAACAAACATTTAACCGATAACAGAATGGAAAATTGCTGATAATAATGTGTATGATAATATCTTTGATTAGATCAATGTACCATGTATTCAAGGTGACAAAATTCATTCTGTATGCTGTAAACACGTACAGTGATCAAATGTAAAAATAAATAAATTTTTTTTCTTTAGGTTTATTTATTTACATTCATCCACTATACATCATCACAGCCCACAAAATGAGATTTCCCACCCAGAATACACTGTATATTGGCTCAATCAAGCACATCAACATGCGTGTTATCGTCAACAATTTTCCTTTTCCTATTTCCTGAATGTTTTGTTATTTTTGCCATTCTTGATTCCCTATCTCTCACCATCTGCCGTGTCCCACCCTCCTCCCACACTATCACTGGTATCCATGGTTGCTTTCTAATAAATAAAAATTTTAAAAAGGGTGACATAGGAAAGAATTTAGTCATCTCTGTCCCTTGATAGGTCTATGTATAGACATATATTGATAGAAGTCTGAAATGATGGTCACATCAACATTGTTTTAAAAACTTAGCATACTACTTTTTAAGTAAAAAGGTTACATTATGATTTTTTTTGGAGAGGTTTTTTTTGCTTTTGTTTTTGTTTTTGTTTTTTTTGCTATAGGGCGCATGCGCTCACCAGACAGAGAGATAGAAAGCGAGAAATCACCCCCCAGGGGGGAGGGCCACGCCAGAATCCCTTTTCCTCCATTCTCCTCTCGGGATCTTGGGCACACAGGTACACATGCCCGGCAAGAATTTAAGCCACCAGGTCCGGGACTCGAACCGCGGTCGACTACATGGGAGTCCAGCAACATAGCCATTACACTAACTGCTGGTCCCCACATTATGATTTTTATACACTGTTAAAAACAATGGCTGTTTTGTCTAGATGCAGCTGTAGTTCCCATTACTCTCTCATATTGCTATAGTAAATCCTTGATTTAGTTCCAGAAAATAAATAGGGTAAATTTTCAATTTCCCTGGTTCTGTCTCCTATAAAGAAAATTTATAGCATAAAAACAAAATGAAACATATGTAAAATAATATTTTTAGAGACTGACAATTTTTTTTAGAATTTGGTTGAAATTTGACTTCTTCTCCAAACTCTGTACTCATATCCACAAAAGTACATTTTCTTAAGAGATTTTGCACCTGTCAGAGAGACAGAGAGACAGAAGAAAGTAAGAAATTACCTCCCCCTCTGGGAGGGGGTGATCCCACCCAACAATCCTTTCTCCTCCATTCTCCTCTCAGGATTTTGGGCACACACACACAGGTGCCTAGCATGAGTTTCAAGCTGCCAGGTAGGTCCAGGACTCAAACCAAGGTCAACTATGTGGGAATCTAGCAACATGACCATTATGCCACCTGCTGGTCCCACACAAAAATACGAATTGAGTGAGAGATAATTACCTATACTAGTAGATGTGTTGACTTTATGCTAATACCCACCAGTACCCTACAATCTAATGACTATAGTGCTTTATTCTAATTTGCAGCCCATACTACATCCAAGAGATGTTAAAATATACCTATGAATATGTTCCCTACCTCTTACTCTCATTTGCCACTTCAACATTTTGCAAGAGAAGAATTTAGTCATTACGACTTAAGCTTTGGGAGTCAGCTCTTACCTGTAGCAGAGCTCCCATTAGTGATGCCAGTGCAGCCATTCCAATACACAGGGCTCCATACAGAACACCTAGATGGGCAACATAGACGCCAGTGTAAAATACAGACCCAGAGAATTCAATTCCCAACAGAATGAGCCAGCACACTTTTGACGCAACGTGAATGCTTGTGTGAACTCTGAATGTGCAAAATTCTCCTAGATGGTTCCTCAGTGGCTAATGTGGCCTAAATTCAAAATCTGGCAGCCAGTTGCTCACTGTGGTTACTCACATACTCTGTGCTCCTGGGGGACCAATGAAACTACAAATGAAGAAGCTTGCATCCCTCATTTGCATAGCAACCCAAGTGGGAACCTAGGCAGGAACCTTTTTCTATAAAAAGACAACCCTTCTCTTTGTTCCTTCAAGTTTACTTCTGTTTGTTTTTGTTTTTGTCCTAGGGAGCATATAGTCACCGAAGGGAGACAGAGAGGGGGAAAGTGAGAAATCACCCCACTAGGGAGGATGGCCCATGCCACAATCCCTTCTCCTGCATTCTCCTCTTGAGATTTTGGGCACACATGCACATGCATCTGGCATGATGTTCAAGCCGTCAGGTCCAGTACTTGAACCATGGTGGAACGTGTGAGAGTCTAGCACCTAAACCACCACACCATCTGCTGACCTCCTTCAAGTTTACTTTTGGTTCGTACCGAAAACTACATCTTCCCTGTTTACTGGAATAAAGTCTCTCTTTGTCTCTGAATTCCTTTTGGAGAGTTTTGTTAACAACCGTAATATGACTATGGTGAAACGGCCACACATGTCAGAGCCAGGAAATAAAAAAGGAAAGAGGTGTTTTCCTACAGGATCAGCAGCGTATAAAGAGCACAAAGTCCTTATATTGTGTTCCAGGATTAGTTACAATAGTAGGTTATATAAGTAAAGAATGTCCAGAGTTAACTACAGGGATCTTAAGTCTAAGAACTATTGTGCTGTTAATCTAATCCTCTATAAACATTTGTCTGTAAAGGAAGGCTCATGTCTCTGTTTTCAGTCCACCAAAATAAGACACAATTCAGCTCAACTCTGTACAACAAGGAGGAGGAGGGGGCGGGGGGATAAAACATCAGAAATTGGAATCTTCTGACTTTCGGTGTCCATTTCTCCTGGGAAGTGGCAACCCACGTCAGGGGTGGTCTGGAATCTTTAGTCCCTCATAACCACTCTTAGCATTCCCAAGTCTTTTCTATTAAACTAGCAAAGAAAGGCAACTTCAAGACAAATATATTCTCCCTATCATGCTGTTTTTCCCTAAACTTCTTTCTAGAAATTCTTTTTTTTTTGGGGGGGGGGCGGGGAAGGAGGGAGGTTTTTCCTATAGGGCATGTACACTCACCAGAAAGATAAAGAGAGACAGAAAGTGAGAAATCACCCCCCAGGGGAGATGACCATGCCACAATCCCTTCCCCTCCATTCTCCTCTAGGGATCTTGAGCACATGCACACATGCACCCGGTATGAGTTTAAGTCACCAGGTCCGGGATTCGAACTGCAGTTAACTACATGGGAGTCCAGCAAGATAGCCATTATGCCAACTGCTGGTTGCTCTTTCCAAAAACTTTTTAAGCTACCAGTGGTGGGATATTATGGGATCTTCAATTCTCTTTAGATTCTGAGCATTTTTCCAAATTTTCTATAGGTATCTATGTTTTAAACTTATGGAGAGTATTACTATTTTAAAAATCCTTTATTTTTAGAGTTCCTTCTAGCAAAAATTACCTAAAATCAAAATCAGTCAATGTAATTGCCCACACTCAAAATTTAGGATACAGAAAAAGATGAATGGGACATTTTCTCAGCATCAAGTTAGTGCATTCTGACCCAGCCTGATGGCCCTGTCAGTAGCAAATTGAACAGCAGTGCTGGGAACCACATGACTGAACGCCAGTTTGGATCCTGGGGTTGGCCTAAAAATACACTGAGCATGTGTGAACTTGCCCTAAATTCTGACAAGCCAGACAACAGGGGAAAGGGGATTGCAGCATGATGAGAACTGCTGAGAGAGCTTGCTCACTCTCTCTCTCTCTTACATGTATGTGTGTGCATGTATGCACACACTGTCACGAATAAAATAAACTTTAAAAATTCAGTGTATTCCTTGTGTTGTTCCTATCTTACTTACACTAACACTCTCGGTATTTGTATATTAGCTAAATAATCTACTGCACCTGAACAAAAAAGCCCACATACATTTTTTACAAAGGATTTTTGTTGCAATGATTTTTTTTTATGCCTCTTATTCCTAATACAAAGAGTATTTCCAACATATTTAGCTTGAAGTGTCTCCATGCTATAGGTCATGAACGGTCACTATTTTTGGGTTTTGGGATTCAAAGTTAGCGGAAACACACTCAAACCATCTTCTATGTTCATCTCTATGATATCCAAGATAATGATTTTGTATAACCTTGCAAGACGAGTGCAAATTTCATCTATTCTAGCAGAGTTGATTTGTCACTAATCTTCAGTGAGCACCCACCCGTGTCTCTTGTTTTATATGCTTCAGAGTAACCCTGCAAGAGTTCCCATCTTCCTTATGAAGAAACAGAGGCTCATGTGAGTTATTGGTTCACTCAAGGCCAACAGCTAGTAAACTGGTGAAGCAAGATTCGGTCTGTCCAGCTTCAAAAGCATCTATTCATTCTGTTAAACCACATGACTTTAATAACCCTGTAATGAACTAGTCTAAATACTCTTTATAAAGCGTTGTATCATGCTGAAATTATGCTCGAAGATTAAAATCAGGCTCATAATAAAATGATGCATTGCTATTTAAATTTAGGGGACACTGAAAAATACAAGTGAAGTACTTATTCGAAGGTATAGTCATGGCAATTGTACATAAAATTACAGCTCAAAATAGAGTATTATTTGCTATTTCTTTGACAGTCTATTGGTGTTCCTGTGTTAAGTTTAAAGATCTTCTTTGAAGAACAAATTTATTAGTTATCCATTCCAAACCACACATACCCATGATGTCAAAACAAAGAATGAAGTACACTGGCAAGTTTTCTTCTAGTCAGAAATTACATTTGGGACATATAGAAAAAGGGAATCCTTAAATCTTTCTGTTCACGCTGGTATTTAACCCTAATAAGGTTCTATAATCTAAGAATAGACATCAAGAACTCCTTGCACAATTTTAAAGATCAGCTCCAGGAGAGTCTACATGAATAGATAGTACAGACAATCAAGATAGGTCAAAAGTCCCAAGCACTGTCTCTTTACCCTCAGTTCATACACATGCATCATATACCTACCTAAAGCAGACAATGCTTTCTTAGGTAAGATAGAAAAGGGTGACTCTTGCTTCCGCACTAAAGATATTTTTTAGAACTGTGATCTAAAGTTAAAAGAAGCGTTTATTTCTTTTTTTCTTATGGCTAAGAATTTTAACATAGATTTGGGGGGGGGGTGGAAGGAGGTAGAAAAGGAGGCTGGAAATTGTCCTTTCTAGTTCGCAGACAATTATTTGAATTGTCTCTCAAATCTTGACTGCAAATATGGTCATTCCTGCAGGAAGTCAGGTACACATGCAGAGGTTCTTACACAATATCGTCAATGAAGAACTTCTCATGTTTCAAAAGGACGATCTCTGAGCTAAAATGGAATTGCGAAAAGGGAAACTTACTCAGTCCTTGAGAAGTCCAAGACAGAGACCTTTCTGAGAGTGACCTGAAGTGAGGTTTGATTAGATCTTCCACCGTTACTGCTGCCAAGGCATTAATACTGGAAGACACCGTGCTATAAGGGAGGAGAAAACTTTTGATTTATAATATGTTACCTTCGATAATACTTTAAATAAGAATAAGAAAGGAGAAAATGAATTGCCACTTCCTAAAATATAATCAGATTTCTATTGTGTTTTTAATGAGCCAAACACCCTCTTTCTGGAAGCAATATAATGAAAGAATGGTTCAGGCAACATCTGTAGACCTCATAGTAAAAGCATGAATGAGTTAATCTCGCTTCCACTTTGCAGTTAATCCTCTCTGTCTTTTAACAAATCTACATAGATTATTCAGTACCATTATATAACAATTTAAAAGCATATTTTCCTAGGAGCCAGTGGGTGGTGTGGTGGTAAAGGCGTTGAACCACACGGCTGACTGTGGTTCAAGTCCCGGACCTGGCAGCTTGCTTTCTCTCTCTCTCTCTATCTCTATCTCTCACTCTGTACTTCTCTGGTCAAATTAAAATAAATAAATAAAGGTAAATAAAATAATTCTTTAACAAAATTTTAAAGAAACATATTTTCCTTTTGCATAGAAAGGAATATCATAAGTCCTCATTAACATACACAATAAATATCAATAATATTAATTTCTTTATCCTTGATAATAAAAAGGGGTCTTCGAAATGTTCATAGAAAATGAGTATTATAAAAAAACACATGAAGACATTTGTGTTACACAGATATGGTTTGTTGCCTGCTGGTGATGACGTGTATAGTAATATCAACTCATCTGCTCTGTGGCGTATATCACGTGGAGAAAAATCTCTTTACAAACCAAATGATGTATAATGACCGAATATATAAAAATAATAAATAATACTAATAAAAAATGTATGATTTCAAAAGAAAATTTTGTACCACCATAAACTCATACTTAATTGCACCCTTCTATAAACTTTTTGAGGTTTCCTCCTATATACCATACACTTTGATAGTAACAATGTCATGAAACAAGCACAGGAAAGGATTGCAGTGAATAAGTTTAATCACAAAACACAAGATTCTTTTCTTTTTTTCTTGAGAGTTTTTTGCTATGGGGTGCATGCGCTCACCAGACAGAGAGAGACAGAGAGACAGAAAGTGAGAAATCACCCCCGCAGGGGGGATGGCCACGCCGAAATCCCTTCTCCTCCATTGTCCTCTCGGGATCTTGGGCATGCACACACATGCACCTGGCATGAGTTTTAAGCCACCAGGTCCGAGACGTGAACCACGGTCGACTACATGGGAAATCTACAACATAACCATTATGCTAGCTGCTGGTCCCAAAACACAAGATTCTTTAGACAGCATATGCATATTACTCAACATGTAAGAAGGAGACTTGATTCTAATTTTTCCAGTTGACCATGCTTTAGCCACATGTATGTGCTGCTGAAATTTTGCTCTAGGGCATATACACTTGCCAGAAAGAAATGAAGAAAGAGAGAGAGAAAAAACACTCCTGGGGGATGGCAATGTCTCAATCCCTTTTCTTCCATTCTCCTCTCAGGATTTTGGGCATGTCCACACACACATATGGTGTGTTTTTAAAGCTATCAGGCTCAGGATTCAAACTGTGCAGTTGGTCCTATGGGATCCAGTCACCTTAACTACCAAGCTACTGGCTGCCCTTAGCCTTGTATATATTTCAAACCATAACTGTAGGCACCTGTTTGTGAAAATTGGCAAAAGTTATCGTCAAGTGATCATCATTACTATGACCCTACAGGGTATGCAATGGTGTCTTAGAGAGCACCTAGCACTCTCTAGAGTGGACCCCTAATGAGGATAGGACGCTAACCTCCAGAGAGGCCAGCCGGACAGAGAGTGGATTGCCTACTTCGGGATGTGTGAGGCCAACTCTAGAATTCAGCTTTATCCTCCAAAGTAACCAATAATAAAGATCCTAGTAGAAACCCCAAGTGCTATTTGAGTCGTATTTCATACCTCAATGTTCCACTGTAAGCACAGGCCACGAAAAGTCCAGGAAGTCCAGGATAATCTCGCAGAATGTCCAGAACCAAGTAAGGCATGAGCTGAAAAATGCCAAAAATGTACTCCTGAATACTATTTGCTTCTGCCTAAAATTAATTCATGCCTCATTGATCTCTGGTTCTTCAGAGGTTGAAGGGAGCTAACCTACACCGCTGAAATTCCCAAATACCTAAAATCAAACTCTTTAACTACGAATACTTAAACAAAGAAATGACACAATAAAGTAAGCAGGCTTTGGACAAACAGATGTGGTTTTTCCTAGGTAATTTCTCTAAGCCTCAGATTCCTCGTCCATAAGATGGTGGTAACAATACCAACCTCAGAGTTATTGTAGATATTAAATTAGATAATCCATGTAAAGCTTTTATGATAGTATATGGAGATACAGAAATATACCACATAGTAATATGCCATTTGGAACTATGTGAGAGAGAGAGAAAAGAAAGTGCTATTATTCTTTAGAATAACAAGTCTTTTTTCTTTCAAGACATAGTCTTCAGTGTCACAGTCCTGCCTCAGCCTCCCAACTGAAACTACGCATGCACACTAAAGAGTGTACACCGAAACACCTGGCTCTTTTTTTTCTTTTTCTTTTCCAGACAGGATCTCACTTTGTTGCCCAGACCAGCCTTGAGCTAAAATTCCTGCTAAAAGCCTTGCGCCAAATTCCCTGCTGCCCCAGCCTCTCAGGTCACTGGGACTCCAGCTGAGCACCATCATGCTCAGCTCATTCTGACAAGGTCTCACCACATCGGCCAGGCCATCTTGGAACTCACAATCCTCCTGTCTCAGCCTCCCCAGTTACTGGGATCACAAGCACACGTAGTGGCACCCAGGCTTAGGTTGAATCAGGACTCAAACCCAGGCCTCCCACATGGTCCCAGCCACACGGGAGCATGGCGACATAACAGTCCTCGCAGTGTGTGTCACTGAAGCTGGACTGGGATAGTAAGTCATCTTTTTTCTTTATTCACTAAGTTATTTTTTTTAATGGTCTAGTGCTTCAATCATATGCACATCTTCCCATTCCCATTCTTTCTTTCTTCCTTAAATTTGCTGCAGAGGATGTGCACTTGCTAGAGAGAGACAATGATTAAGAGAGAGGAAGTGACAAATTGCCTCCCCAAAGGGGGGATGACTACATACAATCCCTCCTCCTCCCATCTCCTCTCAGGATTTTGGGCACACGGCAGAAAAGTCTAGCATGGTTTTCAAGCTACCAGAGGAGTTTTCGATTCTCCTAGAAAACAGGGGGAGTGTGTTTATCATCAGGAGGGCATGGTTATGGCAGGTTTGAAACAACCAGCTCAAGGATGTTTTCATTTTTCTGAATGGATGTGATGCATCTGCGCTGACGTAAAATTTCTCTTTTTTTTTTTGAGATGTCTTTGCTATAGGGCATATGCACTCGCCAGAAAGACAGAGAGAGAGACAGAAAGTGAGAAATCACCCCCTGGGGGGATGGCCACACCACAATCCCTTCTCTTCCATTCTCCTCTGGGGATCTTGGACACAACATGTGCACATGTGCCTGGCATGAATTTAAGCCACCAGGTCTGGGACTTGAACCATGGTCAACTACATGGGAGTCCAGCAACATAGCCATTACACCAACTGCTAGTCCCAAATGCAGCTTATCTTTATTCTGAGTCCTGTAGGTGCTTAATCGACAAGCAAGTCATAGATAATTTTTGAAAGAACTCAGGTTTTGGGTCAGGCAGTCCTGGGTTTGATATTCTTTCTCTTTCTCTCTCTTTTTCTTTCTTTCTTTCTTTCTTTCTTTCTTTTTTTCTTTCTTTCTTTCTTTCTTTCTCTCTTTCTTTTCCTTTCTTTTTCTTCTTTCTTTAGCAGTTTTGCTTTAGGGTGTATGTGCTTGATGGAGAGACAGAAAGACAGAAACAGTGAGGAGGGAAAGTGCAATCCCATGGCCACACTACAATCCTTTCGCCTTCATTCTCCTCCTGGAATCTTGAGTATACATGCAAACTTTCAAGCCACAAGGTCCAGGACTTGAACCACAGTTGCCCGTGTGGAAATCCAATGATATAACCACTACACCACCTGCTTCCCCCCCTGGGTTTGATTTTTAGCTACCCCTTTTGAAAGACGATATATAGCATAGAGGTTCAAAGTTACTACTCTGGGGGGCAGCCTGCCTGGGTTTGAATCCTGGCTCCAAGTTTACTAGTTAGTTACTTATTTAACTCTTTATGCCTCAGTTTTCTCATCTTTGAAAGAAATAATCACAGTGTTCACCTCAAAAGATAGCTGTAAGTATTAAAAATTGAAATTTAGGGGCCAGCAGGTGGCATAATGAATAGGGCACTGGAGTTCCACATGGCTGGTTGCAGTTCTAGTCCTAAACCTGGTGGCTTACTTCTCACCTTCTCTCTCTCTCTTTCTCTCTCTGGTTAGAGAGTACACACATGCCCTATAACAAACTTAATGATAAAAAAGTAAAATAAATAAATAATTAAACTCAAAATTTATATAAAGCACTGGCCTATGGGATTTGACGAGTGTTCATAGTTATCTTAATTTGTTAGTCATGTGACATTGGACAACTTAGGAAACCCCTCCGAGACTCATATACTCATCTATAAAATTAAGATCACAGGATTAATAGAATTAAATGAGATAAAGCATGCAAAGCTCCTGGCAAAGAACATCATCACGTGACTGGTACTTAGTAACCATCCACTTGTTAGATCCAGTTCTCCACTTAAAAAACTGCGAGATAAATCATTAAAAATGAGCAATTAACACCCACAGATATTCTACAGTACCATAGTTTGTGTATATAGTTTTCTTTAATTGTGTTTACATGTTCATTCCCAGCCTTCAGCAATTTCTATTTAACATTTGGTCTGATATTTTTTCAAGTATTTCAGTATTTTAACTTTAGACACAGTATTCTTCATTATTATTATTATAACCACTGAAATAAATCTTTGACAAAAGTTTTATAGAAATTAAAGATGGTGGTATTGTGTCCTCTTGCTGTTTCTCTGTAAGAACACAAATGCTCTTTCTTCCCAAGTAATAAATATCTTGAAGGTCATTAATACACATGTAAGAAAAACATAAGACCAGTCTGCCACAGTGACACGGCAGTGATACAATGCTGTGTAATGTTGAAACCACATGAGAAGGTTCCAGGTGGTATCCTGAGTCCTTCCTGATACATCGGGCATGTGTAATGTATGCCTGTGATCCTGGCTGGCGGAGGCTGGGGTTGAATCGTGGCACACAGACCCTGTTGAGAGTGCCTGAATCAATCAATCAATCTCTCTCTCTCTCTCTCTCTCTCTCTCTCTCAGAAGAAATAAACAAACAAACTTAGAAAGAAAGAAAGATGTGGTACTGAACCTGGTCTGGTGCAGACACTTTCTTGGATGTCCATGGATCACAGTCATGGTACCTAGAATACAAGGCTAGTCCGCAAAACACTGAGCAGACGAGGATTGCCCAGAGTCCCACAAGATTGATGTAGAGAGACCTGAAGAAGGGAAAATGAACAACCAAATGACAATTGTAACTTCTTTTTTATTTATTAAAGAATTATTTTATTTAACTTTATTTATTTATTTTATTAATTATTTTAATTTGAACAGAGAAGGGAAGAGTGTGTGAGAGAGAGAAAGAGAGAGAAGAGAGAGAAAGTGAAAAAGCAAGTTGCCAGGTCTGGGACCCAAACTGCAGTTGCCCGTGGAGGAATCCAGCAGCCTTAACCACCATACCACCTGCCGGCTGACAGTTGTAATTTCTATCACAAAGATTAAGAAACTTGTAGAAACAGAAAAAGACCTTCATGATTATGCTCAATAAATGCACATTATTTTTCTGTTATAAGAAATGTTAATTATTTCATTCTAATCTAACCTACTTATGATAGTAATCAGCAATAAATGAAGCTTTCCCACTGAATGAGTGTATCCTTCTGGTTAGAATTTCACGGACATTGTTAACCTTAGAATGGCATCTAATCATACTGTTTCAAATCTTCTCATGAAATCAAGATTTTTATAGTCAACAAAGCAGTACTACTACTCATTTTCCTTTAAAAAGTAATGTGGAAACCAGCAAATGGCATAATGGATACGTCACTGGATTCCCACATAGTTGACTGTGATTCAAGTCCCAGACCTGGCAACTTAAAACTCACACCGGGCATGTGTACATGTGTGCTCAAAATCCCAAGAGGAGAATGAAGGAGAAGGAATTTCAGCATGGCCATACCCCCTTGAGGATGATTTCTTACTTTCTAGCTTTCTCTGTCTCTCCAGTGAGCTCATGCTCCCTATAGCAAAAAATCTCTCATAAAAAAAGAAAGCAATGTGTGGGACCAGCAGTTAGTGTAATGGCTTTGTCATTGGACTCCCACATAGTCGACCGAGGCTCGAGGCCTGGACCCGGTGGCTTAAACTCACACTGGGCGCACATGCGTGCATGCCAAAGATCCCAAGAGGAGAATGAAGGAGAAGGAATTTCAGCATGGCCATACCCCCTTGAGGATGATTTCTTACTTTCTAGCTTTCTCTGTCTCTCCAGTGAGCTCATGCTCCCTATAGCAAAAAATCTCTCATAAAAAAAGAAAGCAATGTGATTATAAATAGCAAACCATTGACCATTGTTAGCATTTACACAGCAACTCACCAAACTTATTTAAATGTGATTTTTTAAAAATATATATATTTCTTTATTTATTATTTATTTAATTCTTTTTTTTTTTTTAATTTGACCAGAGAGAGACACAGAGAGAAAGAAAGGGAAAGGGAGAAAGCAAGCCATTAGGTAAAAGACTCGAACCATGGTCGACCATGTGGGAATCCAGCACCTCTAACCATCATGCCAACTGCCAGCCCCCTTAAATATGGTTTTTTAAAACCGCGCATTGTGGAAAGCAGATGTATATTCACTGGACAGGCTTCTTCTCAAACAAGGTTCAACATTACGAATGTATGGCGTGTGCTCCATATACATGTGCAGAGGATAGCTTTTCATAACTACCCTGGGGTCAGGCCAGAGCATAGAAACTGGCTCTATCATATGTGACCCTGAATAAGTCATTTTGCCACTCGAATCCTCAGATTCTTAATTTACACCCAGAAATACAATGCCTACATTGCAGTTATAAGACTAAATAATATAATATATAGAATACAGAGTTTGGCATGCAATAAGCACTCTTTAAATAGCTATTATTGATAATAGTATTAGCGTCTTAGTAAATGGTTGCAAAGTAAACATCTTTTACTAAGGTGGCTACATATTTTCCTAGTGGAACTGCCTTGGACACTGTAATGAGCCATCCCAGGATGAGGAGAGGTACCGCCCTCCCCTGGGCAACATACATCCAAACACTGGTAGAGTCACAGGTTTAAGGCACAATCCCCTCACCTTAATGTGGAACAAGTCCTCAGAGTCAAACTAGCTCTCAAGCTCCCTAAACTTGATTATGGGTGAGTTTCCATAAACACAACCAATGGTCGTTAATGATACATACTCCATAGTTTGACTTACATTTTTGCCTGGAATCTGCTTTTACAGGAAATGTATCTCTGCACTTGGGATTGGTTGACACCATAGATGCCGGTCCATGTGAAGGTGCCGCCTATAATAATTGTCCAGAATGTGTGTCTTTGCAGAGGGTTAGGATCGAAACTAAATGAAAAGAAACAGAAGAGAAAGCTAAACTTCTGGCACAAAACTAAAGAACATACTCATAGACTATTTTTGGAAGGAAGCAACATGCATGTGTGAGTATATATAGATAGATATATTAATGAATACAAAAGGTATAAATATTTCTAACTTGAAATTCAAAGAAAGAAAAAAGTGTTATTTTCAGAGATGTGGAAATCCTGGTGGATATGAATATTCTAATCATTCTGAGTCTTCATTTACTGGGTCAGTGGAAAAGTCATGGTGTTTTTTTTCTGTTTCTCTATGCAAAACTGTGTCATGACTTGTTTGATGACCCAATAAAGTGCTCTCCCATGGTTTTAGGAAAGATCTGTTGTTGAAACAAGACTTCCATGATGTAGTCACAGAGGAACATGAAACTTCCAGAGAGAAGAAGAGAGGAAGAGAGTGAGAGAGCGGGGGGAGGCATCCCTAAGTACACTGCGGAAATAGATAGGGTACTGAAATAAACACGCAATTAACACATTTTATACCATAACTCCTCTCCTAGCACATACATACTCATGTTTCTAACTCACATTTAAGCTCAATAAGTCAGTCAGTTGATGCAGTGAAGTTTCTTCTCCTAAAACTACCATATGTCGTATAACTATGCTTTCTTAAAGTGCTGTATGCACAGCTAAATATTAGTAGCTCAAAACCACTTTATTATATGTACATAAGTTTGAACTGTTCTTACAAAGAAAGGTCAGCTCCCATGTTTAAAGTATCTTCTAACTTTTTAAATGTATCACCTTGGGAGGGATGATTCTGTTCATCTCTGACACACAATAGGAGTGTCCACATTTTCTGCAAGGTGAGCTTTCGTGGACGCTTCCTGAAAATTATGAAATTCTGCAGATCCGTGTCAAAGTTTACATTTGATACCCGCTGAGGAAAGTATTCTGGTTTTATGTATAGTCTGGTAGTTCTGTGGAAAAGGGAGAGTCTCTGTTCTACTGTCCAATTTGATATCAAAGTCTTAGTATTTCAGAAGTGTTGATTCTCTCTTTATAGAGAAAGTAGCTACTAAAATTTATTAACTAATTCATGTCAAAAACTGACAGGATTCAGTGAGCTATCTGAGAGAGTCAAACGAAATTTAAAACACACTCCCCCTAAAAAAGAAAAGAAAACATTCAATTCAGTGGTTTTAGGCCATATAGAAGACACTCAATATGAACCATCCAGATAGGACAACACAATATCCTCTTTCTCTTCATTCATCTCAGCTAAGCAGAGATTTTGTCACCATATTCTCAAAATATATCAGAATAACAATGAATACTTCTGAAAAGTCTGAAACGCAATAAGCCTTTTTATCATTACTTAATGGTTGGCAACCTTCAAGTATATGGTCATAAAAATGTCTATGTTTTATTTGTTCTAATATTTTATTGATGTATATAAACTATAACATCAACACTGAGACATGCCACTTGTATCAAGTGGCAGTTATTGTGCAGGAAAATGCTTGGCTCCACAGTCTTTCTCCTCAGCCTGCCCTACCAGGAAAAGATCTGGGGATAAGCAAGATCTCCCGAGAAGCCCTGGGTTGCTTACACTTCCTGGTATTCATTCCTTCCTCTCTGGTAACAGAAACCCCAGCTTTGCTTGGGGAAACTACCATCTCTCCATTAAATAATCTAAGTGACCGTTAGTAAAAATACATTGCTTGGCCCTGCCCATAAGATCACAGCCCAAGCTAAGCCAATTGGAGGGTCCCTGGTATAGAATCTGAAAAAAAAAAAAAAATTACCAAAAATGGTTTAAGTCAAGTGAATGGAATTAATTCCTGACAATTAACACACTGATGCTGTTCAACTTCTGAGAAAGCTCTTTTTAAACTTTGAGACCTATTTTCTGAAGACCAGAAAAGAACTACCAAGTAAATGTAAAATGGGTTTTCTTTGAGCTGGCAGGTGGTGTGGTAGTTAAGGTGTTGGACCCTGGCATGGCTAACCGGAGTTCAAGTCCCAGACCTGGGAGCTTGCTTTCTCACTTTCCCTCTCTCTGTCTCTCTCTGGTTGAATTAAAAGAGTAATAATTATTATAATAATAAGTAAAATTAATTTTTTTAAAAAAAAACGGGGGGCTCTTTCTTCACATGCGTGATCACAGAATGCCTGTCACAAAGTAAGATGGCTTAAAGAGAAAATAAGCCTGTTCAGGGCAAAGTGAATCCCGCTCATATATTTTCACATGTTCACATGTTCCTATGTTTAAGATGACATCTCTAATTTCTCTACTGTTCTTCCTTTAGGAAAACTGAGCTGCTGTTTAAGACATGTCATGTGCTATGCTTTCACTTAAGGCATCAGTCATCATTTCTAGTCAATTTTCTAGAAATAATATAGAATGTTATCTAATATATTATACAACATATACACATACCTATAATTTTAATATAAAACAATAATATATTACATATTGCCAGAATGATACAAAAAGAGGAACTCTCTAGGCTATTTGAAACAAAGAACAGTCAAAATAGAATCACTGTCTTTTAGTATTTACCTAGTAAGAGACTTTCTTCTCTTTCCACTGTATTTCAGTCTTTAATGCCTAGAACATATTCACTATAAGTACCTTCTCAGGAAAAAGGAACATCTGCAGTGCCATATAAGTAAGTATCATCTGACTGTTTTAACTCCTCAAAGAATTAGTGAAGGGACCAGCAGATAGCATAATGGTTATGTTGCTGGACTCCCACATAGTAGACCGTGGTTCGAGTCCTGGACCTGGTGGCTTAAAACACATTCTGGGCACATAAGCATGTGTGCCCAAGATCCCAAGAGGAAAATGGAAGAGAAGGGATTGAGGTGTGGCCATTCCCCCCAGGGGTGATTTCTCGCTTTCTGTCTTTCTGCATCTGTCTCTCCAGCGAGTGCATGTGCCCTATAACAAAAATCTCTTAAAAAAAAAATAATTAGTGACATATTTCCTTGTCAGTTTTAATTTGCTGTACCACTTCCTTAGAAGTCTGGTTTGTTTTCTAATGTAAAACTGCTCTTTCAATAAAGAAATTATTTTCCAGAGAAAACAAAAGATATGTTCTTATTAACCAAGAGGTAAATAGCAACTTACTTCCAGAAGTTTAGTCTTCCACCATTGTAGGCATCATTTAAAATAGTTCTGAATCCTCCTTGAATCACTGCAGCCTGTATAATCACTGATGCAAATCCAGCCACCATGATCCCAACTTGAAAAACATCTGTCCAGATAACTGCTTTAAGACCACCCTTTGAGAGGATGCATTTGGATTAATACTTTCACCGGAAGTGATTAAGCATCTACGTTGCTTAACAATGTGCAGGGTAAAAATAAGAAAACATGACCTTGGCCAAGAAGCGCATCAAGGGAGATTGCCAAGTTGGAAAAACCTCTACAGAGAAGGAGATATAGAAGCCAAGCCTTCAAACACAAGCAGAGGCAAAGATGGAAGGTTCTCCCAGCAGAGAAAGTAGCATAGGCAGAAGCATAGAGGGGTTATACTACATGGCATGCTGAATGTAGCCAGATCTGTATTTCAGAATACAATAGAGTTATATGGGGAACTTATCATTATTATTTTAGGTTTTTGCCAAAGGGCATGTACACTTGCTGGAGAGAGAAAGAGAGAGAGAGACACAGTGAGAAGGAAAATGAGAAATCACCCCCACACACACGCAGGGGGATGGCCACACCACAATCCCTTCTCCTCTGTTCTCCTCTTAGGATTTTGGGCACGTATGCACACAAGCCTGGTCTGATTTTCCAAGCAGCTGGGTCCAGGACTGGAACCGTGATTAGCCAGTGCCTTAACCACTACACCATCTGCTGGCCCCATATATGGACACATTATGAGAAGAAACTCAGAATCAAAGTTGTAAAAGTCAATAACATGAATTTTATCCTAGAGGCTGTGTTGCTATTCAATCAGTATGCACACAGTTGTTCATATCCATTGTTGAAATACTAAAATTGTTCTGGACTAGCTGCTACTATAAACTTTCCAGGTCTCCCCCTCAAGCCTCTAGGATGTGGGTTAAACCAGTTGCTACTCAAGGACCCTGACTTCTACAAGATCCAGCAATTAAAAAGTTAAGATCTAGACCATCAGGAATCCCATAAGATTTGCATCACTGCTAAAGACCAACATCCATGACAGTATCAGGTACCATGACATACTGGTAGTTGCATCTAATGCCACCACATTTTGTCATACCAGACATTATCATGGGTTTCTAACTTGAGGAATAATACGAGCACAGGTATAATAACTCAGCAAAAGTAAGGATGAATCAGGAGAAAAATTAGGGACAATTCCGTTGTTCAAATGAAATTTTAAAATTTTAGTTATGATCCATGTTCTATAAAGGATCTCATTTTACCACAGACCAAATATTCCTTACAAGAGTTATACTGCAGGAGGTCAGGAGAAGAACAGTAGGTAGAAACAACTCAGCGGGCATCATACAACTGCTGGAATTTTTTATTTTGCAAAGCAAGTGGGTAGAATGAAAGCAAGAATAATGTTCTTGACATACCAGTGTGCAGTAGAAGGTGCAGACCACTCCTGTGGCCACCACTGCGCCCCACAGATCAAATCCTGTGACTGTAGAAGAAGAGAGAATGAATGCATGTACAACTTAGAAGGGGGAGAGTGTGAGGAAAGACATTAAGGAGAAAAATAGAGAGGCCAGACATTATGGGACACAGAAATGGATTATTATCTGTTGACAAATATGTGTATAATATCCTCAGCTGAACTGGTGTGAAGTATATTGACATTGGGAAAATTCACTTTACAAAGTAAGTGATGTATAGCAATTGAATGTATAAAAGAAATTAAAGGGGACGGCAAGTGACATGGTGGTTAAGGGCGCTGGACTCCCACATGGCCGACCATGGTTCAAGTCTCAGACCTGGTGGCTTGCTTTCTCACTTCTTCTCTCTCTCTCTCTTTGTCTCTGATCAAACTGGAAAATAACAATGATAATAATAATAAATAAAGTTAAATAAAATAATTCTTTAAAAAAGAAATTAAAATTAAATTAAATTAAAAAAAAGAAATATACACAACAAAAATACTTCTCAAACATCATCAGGGAGAGAAGGAAGCTATATCACGTATCGGGCACCTGCCTCTACCCCTGCTTGCCTACAGCAAGGCCCAAATTTCATAATATTACACACACACACATGCAAAAAAAATGAAACTTAAATGTTATTTGACGAATTAAATGAATGTGGTTATAGTTTCTCTCTTCAGATGCTATATACACATCCCACAATGACTTAATTAAACACATAACGAAGCACTTACATTGCGATTACACTAAGAAACGGCCTAATACTGTGGGTAGCCGCTCAGATGAAATGAAGTTGAAGGGTATTTGCCATCTCTCCCCATTGCACATGTTCAGCTAAATGTGTTATTTTACCAATCCCTGGAGGGCATGTTACTAAGATGCAGGTTATTAAGATAGGGCCTAGATAAAGAAGTTTATATTATTTGCTTCCATTTATCTAAAATGTGTGTGTGTGGTGGGGGGAAGATAAACAGACAAATCAAAAATAAACAAACAAAAACTGGTAGATATATTTGCAAGTTTAACATCCCTCTCAGTCATGATAGACCTGGAAGATTGAAACAACACTATTAGCCAACTGAAACTGTGACGATTATACCCAAAGGCCACATAGTAAACATCCTTTTGAGGAGTACATGAAATGTTCAGCAAGATAGACCATTCCCACGGTCCACTGATAATCAAAGAATCTCAAAAACATTTTGTGGGTCAAAAGGAACTGGATACAAAAAGACTCCATGATTCTATTTATATAAAATAAAATATAAAAACAGAAAAAAATTAACTTAGGATGATAAAAGTAAAAAAAGTGGTTGCTTGGAATAGAAGAAGGAGGATAGAAAGATGCACAAGTAAATTTTCTAGGATTGAGTAATGGGAAAATTTTCCATCTTGAGTTGGTGGTTATTGCATGAATGTACAGTTGCCCAAGTTCATCTATTCTGTGTATTTTGTCGTATATAAATTATATCTCAATAAAAACTAGTTTTCAGGACCAGCAGACGCCATAATGATTACATCACTGGATTCCTACATGGTCCGTTGCAATTCAAGTCCCGAACCCAGCAACTTAAGATTCAGGCCAGGTGCACGTGCATGCATGCCTGAGATCCCAAGAAGACAATGGAGGAGAAGGGACTGCGGTGTGGCCATCCCCTTGGAGGGGGGTGTCATTTCTTGCTTTCTGTCTCTTTGTCTCGTATCTCTCTGGTAAGCACACACACCTTGTAGCAAAAATCTCCCTTAAAAATAAAAAAAGCAAAAAACCAATTTTCAATTTTAAAAAGAAAGAAATTGAAACATAAAACTTGTCAACTAATTTCAATTACATAGACCTATTTGGATCCTGATTCCAACTAGCACTGAAGAGAAAAACCAGGGAAATCTGAACACTGACTTGATATGAAATTAAGGACATAAGAATGCATGTAAATAAGGGGAAACAGCTACATGACAGTGTGTCACAGGGGAGTAAAAACTATAGACAACTGGGACCAACAGTAATGGCTATGTCGCTGGACTCCCACATAGTAGACCGCAGTTTGAGTCCCAGACCCGGTGACTTAAACTCACGCTGGGTGCGTGTGCGTGCGTGCGTGCGTGCGTGCCCAAGATCCTGAGGGGAGAATGAAGGAGAAAGGATTGTGGTGTGGCCATCACCCCTGGGGGGTTATTTCTCGCTTTCTGTCTCTCTATGTCTTTCTGGCAACTGAACGTGCCCTATTTCAAAAATCTCCCCCCCCCAAAAAAAAAAGAAAAAAACAACTATAGACAACTTCATACTTTTTTTTAAAGCATTTGCTATAGGGCATGTGTGCTCGCTGGAGAGAGACACACAGAGAGGGGTTGGGAAAGTGAGAAAGCACCCCTCAGGGGAATGCCACAGTGCAACCCCTTCTCCTCCATTCCCTTCTTGGGATTTTGTACACACATACACACATGCCCAGTGTGATTTTCAAGCCACCACTCCGGTACTGCAATTGCATAATCAGTCATATGAGTCCTGCCACCTTAACCACCATACCACTGGCTGGCATGATTTCTCACTTTCCTTCTCTCTGTCTCCCTCCAGTGAGCATAAGGAAAGAAAGAGAAAAAGAAACAAAGGAAGGAAGAAAGGAAAAAGAAAGAAAGAAAAAAGGGAGGAAGGAAGGAAGGAAGGGAAAAAGAAACAAAGGAAGGAAGAAAGAAAGAAAAAGGAAGGAAGGAAAAAGGAAGGAAGGAAGGAAAGAAAGAAAAAGGAGAAAGAAAGGAGAAAAATCACACCAGGCACATGTGCATGTGTGCCCCCCAAATCCTAAGAGAATGGAAAAGAAGGAATTGTGGCATGGCCATCCGTGATTTCTCACATTCCCTCTCTGTCTCTCTCTCCAGCAAGTGTATGTTTACTATGGCAAAAACCTTAATAATAATTAAAAACAAAGAAAAAATTTAAAAAGGAATTAAGACATTAGAGCTTATTTTAAAATTATAATTTAAAAAGTATAACTAAAAATAATTTTAAAAACAAGTTCTGGGGCCAGACAGTAGCATAGTGATAAAACATGAAGCTCTGAGGCATTTCCTTATGAGAAGGTTGCCGGTTCAAGTCTGGAGACCGTCCTCAGTACTCTAGGCACGCACTTGCACGTGATCTGGAGCTGGCTAAAGGCTGAGGGTATGTCACCGTGTCAAGAATTGAGTGGGGGTGCTCTCTCTCTCTCTTTGTTTTTCTCTTTCTATGTCTCTGTCTTACTCAAGGAATAAATAAACCATTCAAAAGTCTTTAGTTTTAAAAAGACAGTGCACTACAGATGAAATGATGTATAACATCTCAGAGTGACTGCAACATAATCTAGTAAGGAAAATAGGGAGTGAAGTAAAATTGGCAGTGAGTAGACCATTATTAATTTAAGGAGAGGGAAACAATAGGGCCCAATACACTATTCTCTCTATTTTAGAATATGTTCAAAATGTTACATAACAGAAAAAAAAAAAAAAAGATTAGACCTAGAGAATGTAAAGTTTCAATTCAGTTAAGCAAGGTTTTTACTGGGCACCTGTTGCACACCAAGTACTCCATCTATGCCTGTGTCTAGCTCGCAATAAAATACACAACTAGTATTCTAGCGGTCAAAATGCAGTCTCTGGTTCCAATTCCCTCCTAGGGCGCGGCTCACGTCTGATAAGAACAGACTCCTTGATTTCGTCCCAGATGGCAGTCAGAAAGAACTGCACTTTCAAACCATCACTTTGAAAATGACCCCTAAAGCCGATAGGTAACTTATGAAGTTTATAGCTCAGCTTGGACAGAGGAAATAACCCACTGCTGATGTTGGTAATATTGGCATGGTCATACCTGGCACTCAGAGTTCAAGAGCACATGCTATAACGGAGCTCCTCTTTATACGTTGTGCCTTATAAACTTAGGCGATAATTGCTATCATATCTGTCATAAAATCAAGAAATTAGCATGTGGAGATAGTGGCTCCATGTTATATCACCTCCAGGAACTGCACCACATTCTTCCCCTACAGGGTTCACGTGTCCATTTTACAAGGAAGTTTTGATAAGAATTCAAAGGGCATGGGGTTTCCCTGAAGCTTTTCAACCATATGACTAATAGGGACCTTTGCCTCAATATATTATCCCTGACTCGTTGCTTTCTCTCTCTCTCTCTCTGTCTCTCTCTTTTTTAGAGAAGTTTTTGCTATAGGGCACATTTGCTCACCAAAAAGATAGAGAGATAGAAAGCAAGAAATCACCCCCAGGGGGGATGGCCACACCACAATCTCTTCTCCTCCATTCTCCTCTCGGGATCTTGGGCATGCATGCACACACACACACAGCATGAATTTAAACCACTGGGTCCAGGACTCGAACCACAGTCAGCTACATGGGAGTTCAGCGACATAGCCATTATGCTAACTGCTGGTTCCCCCAATTCATTCCTTTTATCTGCCCAAATCTAGAGGGGATAGATGATTTGTTAATCAGCACAATCTTCATAAATGTATTCATAAGGATACTATTGCCATCTGTCCTTTAACACTAGGAGCAATCTGATGGCTCAGATCACCTGGTTCTTTTTCTCTTTCATTTCATTTCACCATATTAGAGGTGGAGAGAAGAAGAGTTTCTCTCCCTGCCAGATTCTACAATGAACCTGATCAGAATTATACAGAAGCCTCTCAAAGATAATTAGGTTACACGAAGAGGTCTTTAAGTTTTTGGAAAGTGTATATTATGAAAAAGAATCCATGTTTTTCAAATGTTCTATACCAAAATAAATTCATATTCTACTTCCATTTTTCCACAGGCTTTTTGAAAGTCCCCAAGTAGACCCAAAGGATAGAGTTCGATCATTCGTCAGCCTAAAAGGGGCGTTCATTTGGAAGCTCTGGAGAAGGCTGGTGGGCACAACCCAGAGAAGCACACCTGGCGAGGTGGGCCTTTCTCACCCCAAAAGTATTTTGGAGTTATCCATCTAGAAACAAAAAAGGCTTGTTTACACACTGAATCCACCCGCCTCCTGCCTTTGTAAAGCTGATGGAGGTTACTGGAAGCATCCCTCCACCTCCCTATCTCCCTGTGGGGAAAATACGGCTTATTGAACATAAACCCCAAAATGTGAGTCACAAAATTGGCAACTCTAAAATGTACCTTGATTCAAAGCCAGGGCAGGGGCATAAATAACAATTCCAGTATACAGAATCTAGGGAGAAAAGAGAAAGCCAAATGAATTTGAGCAATTACATCATTCATGAATTACGTGAATTATCTGTATCAATTACAGATTAAATATTGATGTTTTGCATTGATTGAACTATGAATGAAAACAGCTGTTGCAACAAAACTGAAGAGCTGGCAAATGCCAACTACCAGCCTCAGCTCCGTGTCGGAATCTCCACCTGATCCCAAAGAGCGCATTCCTTTTACACCACAGGTGTTAAGGACTGCTGACATTTGAGCTATTTCGTTTACAAAGATATAAAACGGAGTCTAGTTTAATAACTTACTAAAGCACACTGTCTCATTGTGGGAAATGTTTAGGTAGCGTGTGATTGGAGAGAGAGAATTGTAATTAGGGATAAGAATGGAAACGCTTTCTTCAACCTCTATTAACAAACGCAGCACTGACGTGCTTAACTGCCAAGAGGAAGAGAGACATAAATGGCACGGCAATCCCACGAGCAGGTGAAGGGTTGGAAGCATTTTCCGCCACTGGCCACGTGGCAATCATTGCTTCCCATTGTGTCAATCAGTGATTCTGTATGTGTTTATCCTTGAATTGCTGAATTGTGTATTTAGCTTTAAAAACTTCTCATGGTTTTGTTGTTTTCTACTCTAAGTGACCATTTCAACTGGATTTTATAGTTTGATTTTTATTTTATTTCTATGTATTTATTTATTAGTTTTTTTTTCTATAAGTCATGTGCACTGACTGGAGAGACAGAGAGAAGGAAAGTGAAAAATCATCCCCCAGGGAGGATGGCCACACCCCAAAAGCATCTCTTCCATTCTCCTCTTGAGATTTGGGGCATATACACAGATGCTCTGGCGTGTTTCTCAAGCCTTTGGGTCTAGGACTCAAATCTCAGAGTCAGTCATGTGGGACTTAGTTGCCTTAATTTCCATGCCACCTGCTGGCCCATAGTTCAACTTTTTTAAAGAGTACTAATTTCATTTCTTTTTCTTTTCTTTTTTAGTTTGTATAGGGCACGTGTGCTCACTGGAGACAGAGAGTGAGAGAGGGAAAGTGAGAAATGGCTATGTTCCAATCCCCTCCTATCCATTCTCTTCTTGGGATCTTGGGCATGTATGTATACACACCCAGTGTGTTTCTCAAGCCACTGGGTCCAGCACATAGCTGGCCATGTGGAATCCAGTCGCCTTAACCTCCATGTTACCTGCTGGCCCCAGCACTAATTCATTTAGTCTGAATGCTTTCGAACAAAGAAAACTATTTTGTAATGTCTTTCTGTGGCAGACACTTTTTTTTTTTTTTTGGAGAGATTTTCACTGTAGGGCATGTGCGCTCGCCAGACAGACAGAGAGAGACATAGAGACAGAAAGCGAGAAATCACCCCCCAGGGGGGATGGTCACGCCGCAATCCCTTCTCCTCCATTCTCCTCTCGGGATCTTGGGCACGCACGCACACGCGCCCGGCGTGAGTTTTAAGCCACCGGGTCCGGGACACGAACCGCGGTCAACTACGTGGGAGTCCAGCAACATAGCCATTACGCTAACTGCTGGTTCCCGCAGACACTTTTTTCATATCTATTGCTCAACATGTTACAAAAATACTGTGAAACATATAACCTTTTTTTCCCCTCTTTGTTAGAATTTCTGCTATCTGGCCCATAGCATACTGGACTGCAGCACTGGAAGCTATATGACTTATCATGGGTTCTGATCTCCAGGGTGGTCTGAGAACATGGTGAGTATGAACAAGGGTGCCCAAGATCCCAAGGAGCTGGATGACTAGGGAAGGAGTTATCTGTGCATGACAGGACCCTGTCAGGGATGCAGTCTCTCCCTCTCCTTCTATCTTATATACATGTGTGCTCTATCAAAAAAATTAAAAATTAAAAAAATTAAAAATAAAACCAGAAAAGAAAAAGAAAAAAGAAGAGGAAGAGGAGGAATTAATTTCTACTATCGGCTGCTATAGCTCCCTCGAACATCTTTGTCATCTAGATGACTTTACTGTCACCTTTGTGATGGTGGGAGAAGGTAAGATAAGAGAAAAACACATTTTCCTAAAGCAACATGTCTATTGCCTGATCAATCTAATATTGAACATTTACTGAAGTCATTCTGCTTTTCCAGAAAGCAAAGTATTCGACGATCTTAAGGGTTAATCCTGAGTACTGACAAGTGACTTTGGTTTTTGTTTCCTCGTATTTTCAACATCTCTTTTTTTTTTTTTTTTTTTATCTTTCACATGTTTCCTAAGTAAGCTTAATCCAGATGCCATGGTCAAAAAAACTTTAGAGGATGACAATATAAGTCAAAATAAGTTAATGAAGAGCTACTTACTGTTTGAACAATGAAGAGGACTGTTCCACAGAGACGAACATGTCTGTTAAATCGAAGTTCTAAATACTGTTGACAAAAAGGAAAAATAGTTATTATGTAAATCCTTTGGACATTTCTATTTTTATGATTTATTTTGTTGAGAGAGAGATTTTTGCTATAGGACGTGTGTGCTTGCCAGAGAAACACAGAGACAGAAAGTGAGAAATCACTCCCTGGGGTGATGGCCACCCAGCAATCCCTTCTCCTCTATTCCCCTCTTGAGATCTTAGGTGCACACACACACACACACACACACACACACACACACGGCATGATTTTTAAATCACCAAGTCTAGGACTCGAACCACATGAGAATTGACTACATGAGAGTTCAGTGATGTAACGTTATTCCATCTGTTGGCCCTGACACTACTTTTTTAAGTCAGCAACTTAAGAAGTAAAGGGTTAGAGGAACTGGCAAGTGGCTTGGTGGTTAATGGTGCTGGACTCCCACATGGCTGACCATGGTTCAAGTCCTGGACCTGGCAATTTGCTTTCTCGCTTTCTCACTTTCTCTCTCTCTCTCTCTCTCTCTCTCTCTCTCTCGCCCTTCCTCCCTCCCTCCTTGACTGATCAAATTAAAAATAAATAAATAAGTTGAAAATAAAAAATTCTGGAAAAAAATAAAGTAACAAGTTAGATATTTAAAGCAACTTCATAATTAATTTGTATTCTGTATTCTATTATTTTTATTTACATACAGCAAAACTGACACATTTGTTTTAGAGTACAGTTCAAAGTGTTTTAATACACGTTTAGATTTGTGTAATCCTTATCATAATCAGGGCACAAAACAGTTTCATCACCCCAAAAACTCCCTCATGCTGCTTCTCTGTAATCGAGCCCTCCTCCCATCCCAAACCCCTAGTTTGACCTTTTCTAGAATGCCATATATATGTCATACATATATTCTGTATTGTTAGGAGTGAGGAATCTGTCATTCTACTCTACCTCTTGGCTTCTGCTGCATACATTTCCCTTAAGAAATGGGAAATCAACCCTCTCTGAGCACAGGCAACTGTGATGAGATTGTCAGTCAAGATGCCCTGCCTCTTCTCACCAAGAGAAAGTCACATGACCCCAGCTCAGCTAATCAGCTTCCCTTTCCAATGGGTATTTGAATTTCAGAGGCAAGATAGACAGAAAATGATTACAGTAGACTGATCCCAACAGAGTGGCCTCTGTTCTTCTAAGGCCTACTTACTCAGCTGTTCCCTCTGTTCTCTGAGCTACCTGCATGTGTCCTTCATATTTATTTATTTATTTTTATTTAAATCAACCATGCCAGTTTCTGTTCAGAGCTAATGACCCTGCCAATTCCCCCTACTCGCCCTGAAATCAGCTAGATTCTATAATTTGATTTACCTATATCTTATATATCATAATATATTACAGAATTAAAATCACAGAATTTCAGAACTCAAATGCCTGTACATTCTAGGCACTCTGTAACTTAAATGTTATTTTAACATATAGAGAGAAGTTTAAGACTGATAATAGTCTTTTCCTAGGGCAGAAAAAGAGAAGGAAAGGGGCCACTAGGTGGCATAGTGGTTAAGGCACTGGAGTCCCACACGGTAATCACGGTTTGAATCCCAGACACGGAGACTTGAAAAACATGCCAGGCATGTGTGCATGCCCAAAATCCTGAGAGGATAATGGAGTAGAAGGTATTTTGGTATGGCCAACCCCTCTGGGAGTGATTTCTCACTTTCCCTGTCTCTGTCTCTCTCCAGTGAGTTCACGTACCATATGGCAAAAACCTTAACACCTTAACACACACACACACACACACACACACACACTGATGTTAGGTAATAATCAGAAGAAAACATTTCTGCTCTATAATCACAGCTCACACATACCAAGCGCTTGCAGGTGCACTGTCCTGCCAATAGCCTCTGCAGCAGATTCTATGTATATGCCCGTGTTAGAAACAGAACACACCGGGACTCAGAGAGGACACCAAGGTTGCAACTTAATAATTGGCAGGGCCACAACATAAATTTAGAAACTTTTATGCCAAAATCAGGGCACATAAACAGGTCATTTCACATAAATAAGTAAACAATCTGACTATGTGTTTAAAACCGGGGTGGGGGAGGCAGGTGGTGTGGTGGTTAAAGGCGCTAGACTCCCATATGGCCAACCATGGTTCAGATACCGGACCTGCTGGCTTCCTTTCTCACTTTCCCTCTCTCTCTCTCTCTGTCTCTATCTGGTTAAATTAGAAAATAATAATAAAGAAAGTTAAAATAACTCAAAAAAAAAAAAAAAAGAAACAGTAAGTGAGTCAGTGGCACTGAAACACAGTAGGACCTCCAGAAAGAACTGATGGGGTGACAAATACACAAGCTGTGTAGCATGTTGGGAGATGAACTGCAGCCCTTGACCCAGTCTACTCTACTCTCAGTGAGCTTGAGGTTATCACTCCCAAATCTCAGATGCCTTCTCTTTCGAATGAGTTTAATAGTATTAATTCTTTCCC